TAGCTGTGTAATGTTACTGTGTTACCTGCTGTGTGGGGCTGGGTAGCTGTGTAATGTTACTGTGTTACCTGCTGTGTGGGGCTGGGTAGCTGTGTAATGTTACTGTGTTACCTGCTGTGTGGGGCTGGGTAGCTGTGTAATGTTACTGTGTTACCTGCTGTGTGGGGTGAGGCTCTGTCACAGTCCAGCTTGGATGCTGAAGCAATGGGCATGAGCCAGCAGCTTCAGCCTCTAGTCCTCAAGCCTCCTGCGGAGCTGGGAGATTAAACTGCTTCTGTTTCGTACAAAATAGAAAAAAGCAGACAGTGCAGCTGTGATGGAAGCACTTATCGCAGCTTCAGCCCTTGTTAGTTCCTTTGTTGGTTCCTGCTGGGTTATATGTTGGCAGTATGCAGTAAATTACTGTGTGTGTGTGTGTGTGTGTGTGTGTGTGTGCGTGTGTCTGTGTCTGTGTCTGTGTGTGTGTGTGTGTATCTGTGTGTGTGTGTGTGTGTGTGTGTGTCTGTGTCCGTGTGTGCGTGTTTCCCTGTAGACCCGGTGTGTTACAGGTTGATCTGTAGATGCTTCCTGATCCCTTTGGTGCACGATGCAGTAAATATCAGCAGGATGGGTGTAGCATTAATGGACGGCGCCAAGATCAATGTTTCTTTGCTTAAGTTAAAATGCTCCCGAAATGGGGGTGGGGGGGGGGCCCTCTGCTAAATGCTGTGAGGAAACCCCAGTTTGTGTTAACTCTACTCAATTAAGCTTTTCCAAAGGACCAAATACTCCTCCCTAGAAGGACCTTGTGAGTAGATCCTCGCAGTCCCATCTCTCCGCCCGCAGCTGTCTCTCTCCGGCCCTGAGTGTGTGATGGCTTCCTGTCCCGGTGAAGCAGCTGGACACGGAAAGAGGACGCCTGAGGTGTCGGAAATATCGACAGACCTGCCCCCAATAAGTATAAATAAACAAACAAACAAACAAAGAAGCAAGAGCGGATTTAAATCTGCACGTTACTGAGGCCCATTTGCTGTGCATGCAGTGGGATGACAGAACATGTACCTGACGAAGATTGGAGTCCTGTATCAGAGAAAATCATTTTATGAATGAATGACTGACTGAATGTTACATTTATATAGCGCTTTTCACAACACCCAAAAGCGCTTCACAGGACCAATGGCACCAGCACTGTGTGGCCCCCACCTGGATGATGTGACGGCAGCCATTCTGCACCAGTACGCTCACCACGCATTAGCTAAGGTGGTGAAGGGGCAGGAGAGAATTCACCAGTTAGATATAGGGATTAGGGGGGCAGATTTGAAAGGGCCACAGTGGGCAGTTTCAGCCAGAGCACCGGAGCACCCACCCCCTACTCTTTCGAAAGGTGCCCAGGGGTCTTTTATGACCTCAGAGAGTCAGGACCTCGGTTTTGTATATCATCTGAAGGACGTCACCATTTCTACAGCACAGTGTCCCCGTCACTGCACTGGGGAACTGGGATGCACAAAGACCACAAGGTGGGCTAACCAGTTGGCCAAACCAACAAATAACTGATCATACGGAGCAGTTTTTTCTTTGTTTTATTTTTGCAAACTGCACCCTAAACTGTGTTCGTCTTATTTTAAATGATGAAATCTTTAAAAATTTTAAAATGACTTTAAACTCTTTCTTGCATCGCATCCTTTCACTTAGTCCTGCGACTATTGAATGTGTAGCTATTCCCCCCCCCCCCCCAGACCACCATCTCCATGTGGGCTCTGACTTTTCGTTTTAAGTGGC